TAAATTCAAATGATGTTTTAAATTTTGCTCCAATCCTTAACATCTTATGGCTACTTGATTAGAGTTGTCAAAACAACACTTTGTTCGTGAACGACTTGTGTTCGGTTCGCTAAGCAAACGAGCCAAACACGAACACACTTTTTTAGCTCGAAATATAAACAAGCAGAACACGAGCTGAGCCTAGGCCCGCCCGTGTTCGGCTTGTTTTACACCCCTATGTATAATAAAACAAAATAACATGGCAACAATTGGGCTTTTTTATTTTATTTTAAAAATATATTTATTTCGTGTTTTTTTTTTTTACATAGTTTTTTTTATTTAATAATAAAACATATTTTAACACATCAAATATATTTTATTTCAATTAAAAATATTGACAAATGTTTAATTTTAAGGATTTTTTTATCAGTAAATTTTCCTATGAATGATGAAAGTTCTTAGTCATAATTCATCCATTGGGCCTGGAAAAACAATCAACGGCTTAAGAAAAGGGGGCTGAGTTGTTAAGTTTTGACTCTTAACAAATTTAAAATTTTCATGATAATATTTAGGAGGATTTATGTAATTTCAATCCAAAACTTCGCATTTCACATATCTAATAATTCAAAAATTATATTTAAATAGTTAACACTTCAAATTATAGAAGGAAATTTACATGTCTAGCACACAATTCTTTTGTATTTACATAGCTAATGCCTAAATTTTCATATTTACATAGAATTTTAGTGAATTAAACATATGCATGAAAAGGGTATCATTTTTAAAAAGTGGCAATAGCATTATTTTTCGAGTGGCGTGTGTAAATATGAAAAATTAGGTGTGAGATATAAATACATGAGAATTGTGTGCTATGTATGCAAATACAAACATTTTTATCGGGCCACGTAAAATCTTGGCTTCATAGATGAGTCAACCTTTAAAAGTTTTTATTCATCTTTTGACCTCCTACTTATAGTGGCCTAATTGTACAATTATAGAGATGAGGTAATGGTTATAGAAACCACCCTAAATGCAATTAATAAGCTCATTTGATATCTGTTTTACATTAAAATCTAAATGTATTACAACAACTATCACTCGGTGGACACTTGAGTTCGACCGACCGAGGCTCCTGAAGGTTGCTCTCATCGAGATAAAACAATCGGTCGACTTGTTCTGACAAATCGACCCTACGAGAAGCTTAGGTGGTTGGGGCCGTTCGTAAGGTTTGCCTACTGGATTCATCGACATCACATGTCGGTTGGCTTGATCGAGCATTTGATCATCAGATGGGCTGGTCTAGCTTATGCTCTAGACACTTATATTATCCAGTCATCATGCTTAGTCGTTCGATTCCTTTGAGATTCGTGCCTGCAGTTTTGATGCATACAATATATATATATATATATATATATATAAGGCTATACATGAGATAATAATTTTTTATAAAATGGAGAAATGGGAGAGGAGGAAGTAGGCTCATCCTTATAGTTTCTTAGAGCTTGACAAGTACTGTTGAGAGAGGAAGATGACAAGGAGGAATAAGGATGAGAGCGAAATGCACCACAAGAGTTTGGCATTAGCTAACGGTCAAATAAAGAAGTAAAGGGACTGAAAGATTCGGAGGAAAGGGTCAGCCATATGTACATTAAGGATAACAATATCATAATCAGCTCTAATTGACGCTTGAAAGCCAAACAACATCAAATGCAAAGTGAATAATCATTGATAAATGAGATTAAAAAAAACATTAATATCCACGATGGCCTGGAGCAGTGCCAAGATTTCCTCCTTTATGCTAGAGGTTATAGTTTTAATATCTTCCTTATATTATTTTTTTTGTTGATAAAGGGGAGAAGATATGTTGTGATGTGATGCATAAATTCAAGATAGATAGTATCCAAGTTATTTTATTTACCCCCACACAAACTAATCTCTAACTTATTTATCTAGCCCATTTTATCTATATATGTATTTACTAAAAATGCAAGCTCACTTTGCACCTCAATCCATGTAATTAAGCAACATAGTAATCAATCCATGACTCATGCAATATTGCAGCAGCCATGGCAATAATAAGCCTAGCTGCCATGAAAAAAATAGCTGCAAGCCTCAAAATGATAATGCATGCAACAGGATACTTTCATGAATGCATACCTTTTCCTACCCAAAATGCAAACATAAGCCTAGCTGCCATGAAAAGAGCCGGGGATAAATGCAATTGGCCCTCAAAAGTAGTCCATCTAACCCATAGGTCCATCCCTATAAAATATAACAGTCAAGCATTTTGACAGGACAACTTTGTTAAAATGTCATGGTGACCTTAATAAATGTGAAATAAACTAGGCTTTCGGAGCAAAATTGAGGACGAGTTGCTTGAAGGCCTCTCCTAATGAATTTCTCTTCATCTGAAATACTTTATTAATCTTCACCATACTCTAAATCACTGTTAAAAATAAACCATTCATTAGTAAGAGCTAAGTTCAAGTTTCCATGGATCCATAAAGAGACCAGTACATTATTCAGAGTAGATAGTTATCCTAATGTAGCTCCCCTATCATTGCATAAAAAAGACAAATTCATTTTATTAAAGTAAAATAAAACTCTAGTTCCAATATCATTTTTGGTTTGGTTTGAGTTTAGAATCCTGAATGATCTAACTCTTTTGGGTTAGGTTCGATTTAACATGCAAAACAAAAAATGACATAAACCTGACCACAATTTAACACGTGCACCTTTTATGCATTTTATTAAACGGGTCACATGGGTTAGGATTTGGATCAATTGGGTTGAAGGCGAGTGAATTTTTGGTTAGATATTATGATTCGTTTAATTAACGGAATGAGTTTGACTCATGCATATTTGAGTTGTTCAAATTTAGGTCAAACCCGAACCTGACCCGTTAAACCAAATTGGCACCTCTACTATTAACAAGTTACCCAAATGAGTATTTCATATCATAATAGATGCAACATGTCAGTGGATCAACAAAACAGAGAACAAAAAAATAAACCAAAATCTCTATCAAATTTGTCCAACTCGAAATTTTTTGTTTATAATCAATTTACCATATGATATTTCATCAAATAGAACGTACATGGTATCCTGCTTCCTACAAAGTATTCCCAACATCATCACAAGATAATTAGTCATGCTAGTGAATGAAATATCTTTGAAAATATAGTTGGTAATGGAAACAATCTCATCATCCAAAAAGCATAAAAAATGAGACAAACTTTCTACTGTGTTGCATGTAAATTCAAAAGAAGATGGAAAGATAGAATAAACTCGACACCTTCTGGCTGTTGATCATTAATCATCGACGATTCAAGACTTTCGTCAACATTGTTAGGCTCATTCAATCTATCACTTGCATTCAACAAGGAAGTCATCATAAATCCCTACAATCACACGCCAACAACTAAGGCTTCATTTAGGGCAGCTTCTTCGCTGCAGCGACGTTTTGAAAACGCCACATCACTATTTGGAAATTGCATTTGAGCAGCTTATCCAAAAACATAATTGGTTTTTTACACTAAATGCGGAACGCAGGTCGAATCCCGCAGTTCTTGTTTCCAGATAAGCTACTTATATGGATAAATACAAGCTGCCCCAAACGCACCATAAATCAACATAAACACTATTGAATTTCACGCTCAACTAAATATAAAAAACAATTTCACCTAGACTAATGTATTACAGAACTTCAAAAAAGGGCATTCATTTATAACTCCATATTTAAATTAGTGGTGATTATCCAAAAAAATTAGAAAATTAGATAAAATTAAGATTTTATAGTCAATAAAATTAAAATTAAAATATTATTAATTCAGTAACTTTATATTTTTAAAATAAATATTAAAACAAAACTCACGCTACATTTACCCTTTTCCCACCCGAAACCCTTGCCGCTAAAAAACAAACTCCACCGCCGAGTCTGCCCTCGTCTCGGGTAAGGGGCTACTCTGCACTCTCTTATTCTTCCCGCCATTTTTTCATCTTCCATCCAACGCTCGCTGCAGAGACAGGAACCCTATCCGCCATGGATACAGAGATCAAAGCTGAGTTCGAGAAGGCCGGTTTTTCTCTCGTCGAGGCGGACGAGATCCTTCAGAAATGTAATTCATGTAAAATATGGAAGCAGCTCAAAACAAGCCAAAAATGAATGTTATTATGTTAGTCAAGCATAATGCAGTTGCTTGTAGCTTGTGTTGTACATTGATCATGCCATCCATTCAATACACACAGTATGCTTGTTGTAGAGTCTTGTAGAGTGTCAGTAAACTGCTTAGCACATATTAAATGAAAGGGGGGTTTACATATATACCACCCGGCTCCTATCTATTTACATATCTAACACTTAAACTTTACATTTTTACATTTACGCCGCCCAAATCTTTCATATCACCTATAAAAATATGTCACTGTTTTAAGTATTAAAAGGTGAAATATGCCTTTTCATGAATCGGTAAAGTGGCATATATATATATATATATGTAAAAATTGAAGTTTAGGTATGTTAGATTTGTAAATGCATAGTCATTGAATGGCATGCATGTAAACCTTCCTAAACTCTTTTTTGTTCTTTTTATCGAGTCATATTGAATTAATAAGAAAGACTGACAAATCCTCCTTTTATTACTTTTTCCTGTATAGTTTTTTTTATTATTTAATTTAAGGAAAAGGACCAAAAATGCTTCAGTTTATATCATATATAGTAATTAATCTAATGGAAAGGATGCAACTTTTTATCATTTTCATGCATTTATCAGTCATATAACAACCTGGCATCGTCTTAAAATTTTGGGATAATTACATACAGATCAAAATTTATAAATTAAATACCTGGGTGATCTTTTTGAACTACTGAACCAGTATGTTTGCTCGTGCCACAGTCAAACTATTGAGAATTTGATAAAAAAAAAGAAACATGTGTGTTGGGATTTTAACACGAATCTTGATATCTGAGTGAGAATTTGAAAAATGGATGAATGAGGGTGGTTGATTTGTAAATATCAATGTTTCGGGTGGTCTGTATGTAATTGCTGCATCACTAATGCCTTGGGTCAAATGAAATAGATGAAGGGAGTCAAGGATGCATTCATTGATTTTCTGTCAACATTAATTGTAAATAAAAGGAAAAAAAGCCTCATTTGCATGTATAGCTCCATTTGTAAATGTGAAAACTTCCAGAGTACCGGTGCATGTAAGTGTTATTCACTCCAAAGCTGACTAGTTCCAAATACTTGATGCTTGCAGGTAGTTAAAGATCTACTGGAAACATTCAACATCGGCGAAACCAGAGACAATCGAGGCAACACGGCACTGCATATTGCAGCATTTAGAGGGCATCTACCAGTCATCGAGGCTTTGATCTCCGCATCACCATCATCGTCTCAATTGAAAAACAACGATGGCGATACTTTCCTTCACATGGTGGTGGCATGTTTTCAAATGCCTGGATTTCGTCTCCTTGACAAGCAGATGGAGCTGGTGCGACGATTAATGTCTATCAACATCATAAACATTCAAAACGTCATCAACATACAGAACAACAATGGAAGGACAGCTCTCCATGTTGCCGTGATTGGCGACGCTTTGCACTCTGATCTAGTTGAGCTTCTTATGACCATTCCCTCTATCGACATTAATGTTCAGGATATCGACGGCATGACTCCGCTTGACCTGCTCAGCCGACGGGCTTGCTCTGCCACGTCAAATTTACTGATTAGAAAATTTGTGTCTTTTGGAGGGATATCGAATTTGAAGAACCCCAGGATTAAATCTGTGATGACTTCACAGTCGAAAATGGAATCTGGCATTGGATGCAGCCCAGGAACCTCCTTCAGGATCACAGATTCAGAGATTATCTTATACAGTGAAATTGAAGCAGCTGAGGCCAGTGGGAGGCTAAGCTCATGCTCCAGTGTCAGCTGGAGCGAGAATGAGGGCAATTCAAACAAGAAGAAGCCTTTAAGTTCTCTTGATACTGCAGCAAGAAAGCTCAGGACTCTACTTACATTGTCGCGACATAAAAAGAAGTTTGTTGATGACTGTGATTCGATGAATTCTGTAACAAAATGGAGTGAACGAGAGGAGATTCCGACGCCCCTCCGGCAAACTTACACAAATGGAGCATCTTACCTCATGAATAATAAGCGGACGGTTGCAGTGAGGACATCCACGCCTAGCCCAGCTACAAAGAAGTTTTCTATGAGTTTAATGAAGGGAGTCTTCCAGGAAAGACCACAGTCAGCTCCTTGTTCACAACCTCAAACTCCGGTCAGCCCATTCTCTTGCTCGCGGGTCTCATCGCCATTGTCAGAGAAGCAGAAGGTTGTTTATGTTGACAATGAGAATGTCAAAAAAAGTGCAGTCAAACACGTCGGTTATGGTCACATTGTGAGGAGTTCATCAAAGTTATCTGGTTTAGTGAATTCAAAGCTTACGAACAAATTCTTTTGTGTTGAGGCAAATGGTTTGGAAGTGCAGAGCTTATCAACCAGGAGCCATAGCTGCTGTGTTCCTCCAGTGGGTAGATGAAGCAATCGAAAATGGATTGTTTGTACTTGGGGTGAAATTTGCAAAGCTAGTTTGGAGCCATGCATGGACAAAGGTTTTTTTTTTTCATTTTTTACGAAGCTGAAAATGAAAGGTAAATGTAGAGGCTTAGGTAAATGTAAAAGGTAAATGTAAAGGCTTTTTGAGTGAGAATTTGCATTTTCTTTAGAAAGTTGACTTCCAACTCCTGAAATTTTGGAAGTCATTCTTGGTTTTTTTGTATTTATTCTCTTCTCATCTATGGACTTCCTGACCATGAATTTGAAGGTTTCGTGGAGTTGACTTAATTGGAGTGTGTCTTGTGCAAAATAATACCGAGAACAACTTCACACAACAAGAGAACAATTACAATGTGATATATGTGGTTCGGTGCAAATTCACCTACATCCACGTAGGGAGGAGGGAAAAATAAGTCGAATTAAGGCCAAAACTCAACACACCCCAAAATCTTCATAATTCCTTCTATAAATAAGAGAGGATTGTGACATATAAATTAAAACTATTTCAAATCTTAAAAAGATCATATAATTAGATCTCGTATCAATATTCCTAATATACACGATTCATAATTTACAATCATTAGATTTAATACTTTTCCTTACAATCTCCATATCATCTCCAATTTCCAAATAAGTGGGGATGACCAAAATGAGCACTAGCACCACAATGACCGCAGCAACACGGTTGCCTACATACTCGCTTTTGAAAGGATCAAACCTCGCATAGTTCTTCAAAATGCTCAAATGAAAAATCAATCATGAGCTCGAATATTCACCACTCTTCTACATGATGTGAACTTCTGGACCGGTAGTTCATTTGGCAGCATGTCTGTTGAATTCTCCTTCGTACCTGTATTTAATAAAACATTTTCATCATCAATCAAGTTTCAAATAAAATGGTACATTGCATCAATGTACTTGATACAAACATGATGAGCTGATAGGAAATTCTCTATGATATCTAAAACATTTCTAACACCAGTCAGTTCTCTCATAGTACCATTATACATTATGATAAAGATGTTGTCTACACCAATTGTATGATAAGCTTGATCGTTGCTTGTACTCGAACTTCTTATACGTACATAACCACTCTCAATGAGAACAAATGTGATTGGTATCACCTGTGTCCAGAATTCGGCACAAATCATCTACATGCAAACTGTGCAAAATTGTAGATAATGATACATCTGAATTCTCTTCGTCTCTTTTTTTCATAATAAGATTGACTTTCACCTTAGAGGAAATTCTCTTTCTCTTCTTTTTCAATTTCAGAGAATCCTTTTTTCAATCATCGGTCTCTAAACAAAAAAACACGTTGATTTTTTTCCTTAATTATGCCCATGAGACTTGTGCTTTTGAAAAATAATGTCTCTGTCATACTTCTTTACCCAATTCTTCTTTTTCTTAGATTTATCACGTTGGAGTGTAAGTGTCTCAATCGACTCCATCTTTGTAAACTATTTGTCTTTTCAACAGAACTCTTGGTTCTATAATTTTGTGCTCACGTCACCATAATTCAAGATTTCATTTTCATGAATGAGTATTATCCTGAAATTTTCTTACTCGTTCCAGAATGAATTTAGTAAAAGATGTGTCTTATTTTCATCTCCAAATTTCTCATCCATATTTAACAGATCAACCAAAAATTTTGTAAAATCATTCAAATGCTCATCAATAATAATCCAACATCTCATCTAAAACCTATAAAGTCGACGTTTTATATGGAGACGATTCTCCACACTTCATTATCAAGAAATTCTTTTATATTCAAAGAGTACAACACATCCGTCACCTCACATCACAACATGCCAAAGTTTTGTTTGCCTTCAAATTTTATAGTCTCGTTCTTGAAGGGGTGTGTAATTACCTGATGAATCGACGTATTTTTCACCATTGTGGTGGATATTAAAGTAACCACATACTATAATCAATGGCTCTACCAGATCTCATAGCCCATCTTTTTTCAATCTTTTTGTCTAGCATTTGTAACTTTACCAAAATCGCAGGTAGTCGTCATCGGAATCGTTGATCGAACTTTAATACCAATTGTTGTGCAAAACAATGTAGGAAACAAATTCACATAACAAATAAATAACCAAACACAGTGTGATTTACGTGGTTTGGCCTAGATATTGGTTTCCCAGGCCTCAAAGGGCCATGATGCGACTGTGAGATGCAGTGCATGTGGAGGCTGGTGAGGTACTGGACTAAATACCTGGCAATGATGGCATCGCTTAGCTTACTCCATGTAATCAAGGGTCATCGAAGGCCATCAATATCCGAGGCTGTTAATCTTGATTTTCATCTTGGGAGACAAAACTTAGAACTAATTCCTCTAACACAAACCTAGGAGATTGATAGAAAAACAAAAACAAGGGTTTTAGAAAAGTTCTCATCGCCGTGAAGGTTGACGGAATGTTCTCTTTGCTTGCTGTTGTTCCTACCTTGTTAAGATGAAACTCTCTTTCTTCCTTAGGAGTGATAAAGTTCTCATTCCTCAATGATGCCACTCATCCAAAGAAACTCCCTCACATACTAAAGGAAATTGGTAAAGGAGAAAGAAGAAGATGTGCAACAGAGATTTTGATGGAAGGAAAAGATGAAGTTTTGAGGAATGAGATGAGAGAAGGGGAAGAAGCTTCCACCTTCACCTGCACAAGCCCTTCTTCACGTCAAGCCGAAGGAACTCTAATCAAGCCCCAAGAACTTCCCAAGAAGCCCAACAAAAAGTAACTCTTCAAGCCAAAAAGAAGTCCAGAGAACTTAACACAGTAGCCAACCAAGGAGAAAACCAAGGAGATAGCAAAATACCAGGATAAAAAGAAGTCTAGGAGAGCAAAAAAGCCAGCGAAGAACTCCAACCAGGAGAGAAGCTTACCTTGGTTACTTCTTCCTTTTTTTTGGCTGAAAATTGCTTGCCCTTTTCTCTCAAATTTCTCCAAGTGTCCAATGAAATGGCCACCTCATCCACTCTCTTGCTTACCCATGAAAATCTTCCTTTTATTCCAAAAGATCTGCACTTTTCCACTGCATGGGGAGTTATTTCGGGCAAGATTCGGCAAATAACCTGAGGAGAAATCAGGTTCTGAAAACATTCTGGCGTTGAGGCGCCAGTCTGGCGTTGAGGCGCCATCGGACGCCCACTTTCAGTGCTCTCAGATTTGAGACTGTTTTGGAACTGTTTCAGCTGTCTATTTTTTTGGTTTCTTGATTTTGTGGCCCAAAGACCAACGCCTACTTTTTAGGCTCTCGGTTTTAAGGCCCTTGAAGGCTATTTTGGGTGCCTAGGCACCTGGGACTAGTGTTTAGGTGCCTGCCTGGACCGATAAACCTCGATTTTCATGAAATTTTTTTGATATTATCAATTTGTAATGCATGGGAGACTATGTATGATTAAAATTGTGTCCCATAACTTCAAAAATGAACATTTTTATAGGCCTTATGTAGAAGACATAAATGTCAACGACGCCCCAATTCACAGTGCGGGCGTACCACCCAAACCCTGATTTTTTTAAAAACATGCGTGAGAGGGTTTTATGGATCCCTCGAACCACTGGAAGCTACGTATAAACGTTACATGGTCCCGTAACATTTGAAAAGACACCCAACATGGGTGACATCAAAAATTGATGCCAACACCCACCAAGCCAAGAGATTCAAGCCAAATGAGCCAAGTCAACTTGGTCAAAGCCAGCCAAGTTCAAATGTTTGCAAGAAAATGACTAATTGACCAAAATAAAAGTCATTCGTCCGGAAACAAGTCAGGATGGTGTCCATAACGTCAACTACAGGAAATCCAACTTGACGCAATGATCTATCATGCAGTATAACGAACCCAATGGATGAGTTGTTTTCCATAAAGCATCTCACTTCAAGAAACCTGCAAAATAGCATCAATATATACGTCTGAAAATTTTTGAAAGTAAAACTAGCATCGGATTCCGTCCGACTTACGACGAACTTAGACGTTAATTATCCAATTAGGCCAAAAGACTTTTTGCTAGAGATTGTAGCCATCCCGACGAGGTTAGCCGACCGAGTCCTACCGACCAAATTTAGGCGATCGAGCTAACTCAGTCGAGCCAAGCTAATTATGCTTAACCAGCAAGGCCAGAAGGCTTCTAACGATTAGTTGTTGCTTATAAAGTATCAGAAATATCCTAATATATACCCTCTCTAAATGGGGGTAATATTATAATATCACTATTGCACTAAATCATTCATAAATAGAGGAAACATTTAATAAAGATGCACATGTTTTTTACTGTTAATCTATCTATCTCTTCTTATGTACACTCTATTTCTTGAGTATGATTCGAATAAATAAATATATATATATTGTAACAGACATTATTATACTTGATAAGTCTATAATGTTTTTGCTTCAAAACTTATTTTAATATATTATTCGTCAGATTAGTAAATGGGCACCTAACTCGGGCCTATAAATAGCCAAATTAGATGACTTCATAATGACGGCCCAGACTTGACGCCTATTTTTACGCAAATGACATATGAGTGAAAACAAAATAGAGATTTCGTAAGGCCTAGATATCCTGCCACCCAAAACCCTCCTCCAACCATCCAAAACAAATTTCATTTATTATATCAAACAGACGGTCCCCCATTCACCACGTGTCATTATTTCGGAATCTTTACCCTACCAATCCGCGGATTCCACCAAAGATTCAGAATCCCTGCCATGAACCCAAGGACCCGATTCTATTATCGGAAACTCCAGTGCGGCGGAGCTCTAAAAATGGAGTCCCTCTTCCGCTACATAAACAGGACCGCAGACAGGTCTTACGGCACTGGGGTAACGGGGAACAAGAGGTCTTCTTCTTCTTCTTAATCAATCGATCGAATTCATTGCTGTCGGATTTGATCGAGGTTGAAATGGGGCGGGATAATGTGGAGACGAACGGGGAGCGGCATAAGGTTCTTGATGATTGGCTTCCGATTACCTCGTCGAGGAATGCTAAATGGTGGTACTCGGCTTTTCACAATGTGACGGCTATGGTGGGGGCTGGTGTTTTCAGCTTGCCCTTTGCGATGTCGCATCTTGGATGGTAATGCTTGTCTGATTTCTAGCCTTTTTGTTTAGATTGATTAGGTTTGTGGTTTTTGGGTGGATATGTGCATTCAGATTTTGAGATTTGATAGTGATGAATAATTATCTGTTTTTTATGGATGGAAGTTTTTGTTTCTGAAATTTATTTCTTATATTTCTATTGATGATCGTAGTCAAAATGCAAAAATGGATCTTCTTAGAAGTAATATGATCGATTTTAAAGAGGCGATCCTTAGATTCGTGAAATAAAGGGATGAAATTTGTTCTAAGTTGTCGTTTACCGATATGGTTTGTCGATCAGAATTGTATATTGATGGGCTACATGTTACATGTCACTTATGGAGCTAAAAAATGTTATCATATGCTTTTTCCTATTATTTCTTAGTTTTTTGTGTGAGATATCTTTATGTTGCATTTTATTTTGATGGAAATAATATGAAATCAAAAATAAAAAGGGAATGTTTTAATAAAAAGACTATTTTTATGGATTGTTCTTTTAAGGTATGATTGCCACGTTTATGACATTTTGTTTTCTGAATTCTCTTGTTCAAAAAACTAAAAAGTTATCAGAGCATATGATGAGGTTAGAAGCTCGTGATCAAAATTTTAGTCATTTTTTGAATGAAAAAGGTAGGAAGAGAACTTTGCTAAAAGAAAAAAAAAAGTAGAATTACATTGTTCCCCAATATTTCTACTTTATTTTTTGGAATTATCTTTGTTATTTCTATAAACAAAAATCATTTCGCATCACATCTACTTTGAGCCTACTCTTCAATTTAGTGCCTTTGTACAATGCTATAATCCTATAATATTTCATTTTGCTCAAACATTCAATGTAATTGATTCTCACTTCTTTGACATGAAGAGGGTTTACTTCTCATTAGAGAAACAGGCTTTTCATTAATTTTATATTAGTTTTATTTATTATTAATCAATCAAATGAAATCGAGCAACTAATCACTCAAATAGAAATATTTTCTTCAACGTCATCCAAACTGATGCCTTTAACTCATAATCCTTAGCAAAAATTGTGCATGCATCACTAATCCCTTCGATCTTGCAGGGGTCCTGGAATCACCGTGCTAATTCTGTCATGGGTGATCACCCTCTACACTCTGTGGCAAATGGTAGAGATGCATGAAATGCCCGATAGCGTGCCGGGAAAACGTTTCGACCGTTACCATGAGCTTGGACAGCATGCTTTCGGTGACAAACTCGGGCTTTGGATAGTTGTTCCCCAGCAGCTTATAGTCGAAGTTGGGGTTGATATTGTTTACATGGTCACCGGTGGCAAATCACTAAAAAAGTTCCATGAGCTTGTGTGCCCAGGCTGCAGTCACATTAAGCTATCTTACTTTATCATGATATTCGCTTCTGTTCACTTTGTTCTTGCCCAGCTTCCTAACTTCAACTCAATTTCCGGTGTCTCCTTGGCCGCTGCCGTCATGTCTCTCAGGTTTCCGATTACCACATGTTTGAAAAAAATCTTGTTTTGGTTTTCATTTTTTTCTTTTCTTTTAAAAAAACATGTTTTTTAGTGTCTTTTTCACATGTTATTATTTTTTTTGTTTCTAATCACAGATTAACATATTTTTAAAAACACTCAATCAAATTTTTAAGTATTGTGAGTATTTTTAAAAGAATTATACTTCGAGTGGCCATTCAGGATCACTTTTATTATTATTATTATTATTTTTTTTTTTTTGTAATGTTTTGATTTAAAATAAAATATGTTTGGCTATTTTATTAAAATGTAATTGTTTGTAAAAACACTTAAAATACCTATTAGTCGTTTTGAGTGTTTAAAAAAATATGTTAAGTAGTTTTTAGAAATAAAAAATAAAATATATAAAAATCACACTAAACAAACAGGCTTTAAAAAATAAAAGATAATATAAAACCAAAAACAAAAAAATAAAATTGATCCTAAATAAGCCATAATCAAATAGCCAAATAAATTTTGTTTCAAATTAACACTCGAGCAAAATGACATAAAAATAAAAAAATAAAAAACAGAAAACAGGAGTGATCCCAAACAAATCCCTTATTTTTGATGCCATTCTAAGCTCTCCATCATAACATTTTCTTAAGAATTCATCATTTAACTTCTACCGATCTTTTATTCAAACCATGAGCAGCTATTCAACGGTTGCTTGGGCTGCATCTGGAGCGAAAGGCTTGCAGCCAGAAGTGGACTATAGCTTGACTGGCAAGAACACTACTGAAAACGTTTTCAATTTTTTTACTGCGTTGGGAGATGTTGCTTTTGCCTATGCAGGGCACAATGTTGTACTAGAGATCCAAGCAACCATCCCTTCCTCACCTGAAAGGCTATCCAAAAAGCCTATGTGGAAGGGTGTCATTGTTGCCTATATTATTGTTGCAATCTGCTACTTCCCAGTTGCTTTAGTTGGGTATTATATCTTCGGTAATTCCGTCGATGACAACATTCTTATCACCCTTGAGAAGCCCAGGTGGCTGATTGCTGCGGCGAATATGTTTGTTGTGATCCATGTTGTGGGGAGCTATCAGGTTAGTTCTTCATGGTTTATTATGATCTATTTCGTAGTAGTTTTACTTCTACCGTATATTCTTGAAAGAGTATTGTTAAGCAAATGTGCAAATATAATATTTTATTGATTAGTATTTAATATCAGGATTCTTTTAGCACACTTTTTAATAGTAAATGTCAAATTTAAATTTGGCCATACATATGTCCTCACCTTGGCTATGGTTTTATTTGGGAAGTATAATTGTATTATTCTTCTTAAAATTCATGATAATTACTCATCTACCCTCCATCATGGAATACAGATTTTTGCCATGCCTGTGTTTGATATGATCGAAACAGTTCTGGTAAAGAAACTTCATTTCCCACCAGGCTTGACTCTCCGCTTGATTGCTAGGAGTGTCTATGTTGGTAATGTCTAACACATTCAACCAAAATCTATTATTTATCTAATTTATTAATTGATGCTCCAAGTTATGATACACTTACTGACATTATTCCATTAATTTATTCAGCTCTTACCATGATTATTGCAATCTGCGTCCCCTTCTTTGGTGGCTTGCTTGGGTTCTTTGGAGGATTTGCCTTTGCCCCAACTACATATTTTGTATGCCTGGCTTCATCTTTCTTTCAAATTTTGCAGTATAATTAATGCAAATTAACATTTACGAATGCATGAATTCTCGCAGCTCCCTTGCATCATGTGGCTCGCCATCAAGAGGCCTAAAAAATTTGGCATATCCTGGTTCATCAACTGGGTGAGAACTCTCTCTCTCTCTCTCTCTCTCTAAAGTCATAGTGCTCACAGACATCGAACTTGGGAGCGTAAATATGTAAAGTCTAGCTCGAGCCACCCTCAACTTGACCTTGAGCGTGATTAATCAATTGAGTTCAAGCACAAGCTCGAGCTTAATTATACGATTTCAATTCCTGACATTTTTATTATGAAAGAGAGAAAATAATATTAATTCAAGTTAGTATTATAATAAAATGACAAACAAAATGAACATTTAGTAGATAATTAAGAAGAAATCACTAGATATAAAATACAAAATATTATTTTTGAAATATTTTTTAATAATTTAAGGAAAAATATTAAATTTTACCCTTTTTGTATATTTTTTATCGCTTATTTTTTACACGAGCTAGTAACTCTAGTCGAGGCTGGTTTGAGCTTGGCTTTTTAGCTCATCGAGCTCAATTCATAAGCCACTTATGAAGTTGAGCCCGAGCCTTCTCACGAGTCAGTTTGGCTCATTTAACACACCCAGTCACTGAACCATGTTCAAGTTTACCTAGTAAACTGATTTCATTTATTCTGAATGTTGCACAGATCTGCATCATTCTGGGAGTAATGCTGATGGTTCTAGCTCCAATTGGAGGGCTCAGATCAATCATCCTCAGTGCCAGAAAGTACAAGTTCTTCTCTTGACCTCCCCCTCCATCAAACTCATAGCAATATTATTACGCATGGTTCTTCCTACGCGTCGCCTTTGCGTATTCCAACCTACTCATCTGTATAATAAACCACAAGTACGCTACGCCAAGTTGTTTAAGTTGTCTCTTAATAATCATCCACTAGGAGTGCCATTGCTAGCCAAGCTGCATAGCCTAGTTATGTTTCCTCATTTATTTGTGTTCATTAGGCCATTTTTTATACCGTGGTTAATGTTAGGGGCTCTCAGGCTCACTGAAGCAATTTTAAGTTGGTATAAAAACTTTTATTCTACTTTAAAGATGGCATAGTCATGCATGTAATTAAGATAACATGATTGTTTTCATCTTTTAAGTATGTGTGTCGTATGTTATTGGATCTATTCTGCATTTTTTATCTGGTTGTAGTACTTTCAATAGTAATTTCAGATGTTCTCTCTGGTGGGTCATGTTTTTCTTTTTTTTGGTGAATCTTAATTTTTGTATTTGCGCTTATCTGTGGTTTTGTTACGAGAATAATACTATTTTCTCTGTGTAATAAAACAAAATAACATTGCATATATTTTATTTCGTGTATTTTTTTTACATAATTTTTTTTATTTAATAATAAAACATATTTCAACACATCAAATATATTTTATTTCAAATAAAAATATTGAGAAATGTTTAATTTTAAGTAATTTTTATCAGTAAATTTTTCCTATGAATGATAAAAGTTCTTAGTCATAATTCATCCATTGGGCCTGGAAAAACAATCAACGGCTTAAAAAAAGGGGGCTGATTGTTAAATTTTGACTCTTAACAAATATAAAATTTTCATGATAATATTTAGGAGGATTTATGTAATTTCAATCCAAAATTTCGCATTTCACATATTTAATAATTCAAAAATTATATTAAAATAGTTAACACTTCAAATTATAGAAGGAAATTTACATGTCTAGCACACAATTCTTTTGTATTTACATAGCTCATGCCTAAATTTTCATATTTACATAGAATTTTAGTGAATTAAACATATGCATGAAAAGGGTATCATTTTTAAAAAGTGGCAATAGCATTATTTTTCGAGTGGCGTGTGTAAATATGAAAATTTAGGTGTGAGATATAAATACATGAGAATTGTGTGCTATGTATGCAAATACAAACATTTTTATCGGGCCACGTAAAATCTTGGCTTCATAGATGAGTCAACCTTCAAAAGTTTTTATTCATCTTTTGACCTCCTACTTATAGTGGCCTAATTGTACAATTATAGAGATGAGGTAATGGTTATAGAAACCACCCTAAATGCAATTAATATGCTCATTTGATATCTGATTTACATTAAAATCTAAATGTATTACAACAACTATCACTCGGTGGACACTTGAGTTCGACCGACCGAGGCTCCTGAAGGTTGCTCTCATCGAGATAAAACAATCGGTCGACTTGTTCTGACAAATCGACCCTACGAGAAGCTTAGGTGGTTGGGGCCGTTCGTAAGGTTTGCCTACTGGATTCATCGACATCACATGTCGGTTGGCTTGATCGAGCATTTGATCATCAGATGGGCTGGTCTAGCTTATGCTCTAGACACTTATATTATCCAGTCATCATGCTTAGTCGTTCGATTTCTTTGAGATTCGTGCCTGTAGTTTTGATGCATACAATATATATATATATATAA